ACTGCTCCTTTCAGAAGCCGGACATTGTCCTCACCTTCCCAAGCAGTATCTTGCAAGTTTTCGTTCATTTGGTTTCTCACCCATTTTTCAAATCAGGTCAAGGAATCGCTTTATACACCCCAAGAGGTGGATATTCAGCAAACCACACAATCATGGTGTCGACAACAGAAAAATGGTTAATACAATACAGTAATTAAAGAAGTGAAACGGATAGCAACATCACAAAAACCAATGGCATACCAAGGCGTTTATCATTAGTTTAGGTTGGAATTTTACGCAGGTTTTCTGCGAATGGCTCATGGTTTGGGAGAAATTTGGCGAGATAAGAGACATCTTCAGCATCATCATTGTACAGCGAGATACAGTGGAGTGAACATCACTAATCGCTGTCAAAGTCATAACGCATACAAGGCAAATGAGAATGTGTAAGGAGGATAGGGATTGGACTTACTTTTCGCGACGGGTAGAAAAAGCGAAACTCCATGATCAACACACCGAGTACACAGTTTAACAGTGCATAAACAGCTTTTCAAGCATTCTTGTCTGATAAGAAGTGACAGCAAGATCGTTGCTCGCGGTTTGCTGCTTTGTTCTTCAGTGTCTCTAACCACCCGGTTAAGGAGTTGTTTTGACCTCAACCCGGAAGACGAGAGACACCTACTCTACCCAATCGTTCTATGCATTTTTTTTCATGCCGCGTCTCCAAGTCATCTACTAGCCTATACGTGGCTTTCCCTATTCTGCATCGGCTACTACAAATAAGTCGCGCCGCGGTAAGCGACCGTTAGACATACGCAAAACGTGTCCTAACCAACGGAGCCTATTGAGCTGAATTTGATAAGATAACGAGTTCGTGTTCGATGCACTCTCAGACACCTGACGACCTACTTCCAGGTTACCAACTCGCTTACTCCATCCAATCTAGACCACACTACTTAAGCATCGATTGCAGAAAACCACTAGGCGACGGATGCTTTCTACCCGCAAATTCAAGGTCTCAAAACCGCAAAGCGGTCGTACAGTGGCGCAACATACTCCACTTTTCAACGTCAGTGAAACGTCACGTCGTCGCCACGGGTGTTTTAGTCCTGCGTACGTCACTCGAGCCTTGGAAATGTGGGTTATCTCCTTCGATGCGATACCATCGTTGAACACGCAACTACCCTGGTACGAGACGCAGTCTACTTCAGCCAATTCCTGACCGTCTATTATCAGAATGGGACTGGGCGAAACCCAGTCTTGCAGCATCACTTTGCACTTTGAAGGTGCAAGCCGAGCAGAGCAACATAACTTGCTAGTCTGTCAAGAACTTACTTTACTTTACTGCGGCTGGCTCCTTGGAAAGGATAAACCGACTCCAGACATGATCACGATCATGAAGTTACTTGGGAGTTTGGTACGAGCGACGTCCCCAGCATCACTCGGCCTTTTTTTATTTCGAGGGTGCACTTCTAGCTTTTGTGCAACCAATTGCGAACTGCAAGGCAGCAGAAAGTAATCCCTCGCCTCGGAAGTGATGGGGTCAATGACTTTAGTTTTTAAAGGCCAGTCTCATCGACCTTAGTCACGACACCGTCATTGGGTTTATGCGGATTTTAAACAGAAGCCAGGTGACCAACCTGAAACCCACCACACCCTGGTAATGCCGCCGCTGTTTATTCGCGACTGCTTATTTCTTGCAGTATGCCACAACTTAGTCACAGCTAACCTTCTTCGTTGAAGGTATCACCCTATCCACAACCCGGGGACGCGTCTGGTAGCATTCAGCTCTGCTTAACCCGAGGGTATCAAGTCAGTCAAGTCGTCTTTGCGCAACCTCCATACATTCGAACAGGCAAACGAGGCCGTCAGAGTACTCTAGGTCGCACAGCTTTTCTCCTGCTGCAAATTCAATACCAATATTTCGGAGACCATTTAGTGCGTTCCCCAGTATTTCGTCTATGAAGAAACTGAACAGGAATGACGAAATGAGACACCCTTAATGAATACCACTGCTTGTTACTAACAGCCTACTTAGCTCGTCGTAGACCCTTACGCTACCAGAAGTATGCGAGTAGAAAGTATCTTCACATACTTCTGGAGCACTCCTTTGCGAAAGAGCGAACTCATAAGGGATTCGCAGTCAACTGAGTCGAAGGGCCCTCCTTTGGTCGATTGTGTGTAACGCGTAGCACGAGGACTTGAGGCAGAGTGAAGACTTGATCAATACAACTGCGACCTGGTCGAAATCCTGCTTGTTGTTCGCGGATACTTATCCCACTAAATGGTGTCAAACGTCGAAGTACGACGGAGGCTAATAACCTGGTGACGATTGGGATCAAACTTATTCCACGGCGGTTTGCGCAGTCGTCGCGAGATCCCTCTTTAAAAATGGGAACGATCAGTGATTCGCTCCAGGATGGCGGAATGTGCTCCAAAGACCAGCTGTTACACATTCAATCAGTAATGGAGTCTACGAGTTAATCGCCCCTACCCCGCCCATCTTGAAAAGAGTAGGAGAAAACCCGTCCGACCCTGATGATAAGGGACAATAGAGCACCTGTTACCCTCAGTGCAATTTTTTCATGAGTTTACAACTGGAACGAGTGCAAGAATAAGAAAGGCACTAAGAGCAGGATATAGGGGATGGGAAACATCAGATAAAATGTTCTTGGAGAATGGGGACTGCAATATTTTACTGTCACGGCAACAGTACATTAGGGCAACGGTATAATTTTAGACCAGCTTTCCAAATGAACTTGTGGATCAAGTTCCCGTCCACTAGTGGCTCGTCGAAAGTCAGTAGGAATGCTGACGGGAATCCAATTGGTAGGTGCTGTTTCGGTGTCGGGATCAGCATAACCGGTGGTTAGAGAAACTGTGTTATACTGCTGAGTGTCGCAAATAGTGGTGCCTGTGCATCGTTTCAATCTCTTTCCAACTTTATTCTGTGCAAATTCTTTATCTCCACTTTGATACTGCTTTCAGCATTCCAATCCTTCATTTACTGTTTCGTCGAAGCAGGTAGCCGAAGGGCTAAACACGAAAACTGCACAAAAGTTCGTAGTTGACGGTTGCAAAAGCTGAACTAAATCTGCTTGAGCATAGTCACTTAGTGCAAAAACCACCTCATGTTGGATGGTCTTTATTCTCTTCTAAAGTGTGAATGAAGTACTTCGGAGGAAAAACCCGACGTAGCTAACTCGCTTACGCTAATGGTTATGGGCGCAGTTACCGATCCTATCGAGGATGCGTCTGAGGTCAACCAATTGACTCAGGTTTACCACAGCAAAATACTCGGCTCCGAGTCCCATGAGCAGTGTATGGGAAGTTTATTTTATTTATTTATTAACATTTATATTACACACGTCTGATGTCAAACAAATCATGATACAATAATCTGTATAAAAAAAGAAAAACGTCCCATGATCAGCAAGTGGGCTGAATACTGCTAGGTTGCCCAGGCCAATGCAGGTGAATTTTCTTGCGGACTCCACTATCGAAGCCTTCGGCTAGCTAAAACCCAACCCGAAAGGCAGCGGGGTGGTGTGCGAAAACCGCAAGCCATTGGGGGCCGGTGTCCAGTCTAACGGATCATACGCCCTTTGGACGGGGTCAAACGTCCAAGGTGCCCAATACACCTCGATGCCCAATCGAGCCGGGTAACCACTGCCACAACCGGGAAGGTGTGTGATGCATACGACACCTCTTGATTGGTTCGGAAGCAGGGTTTTTGGCCAACATCCCTAAGCGGATTACCAGTGGTCCACCAACTCGGTTATAGCCGCGGATGTCGGCTTTTAGTCCTCTCACTTTGGTGGGAAAACACCTCCGCAATT